TTTCCGAGTCATGCTCATTTTTTGAAATTAGTGGTGATTGTAATATATTTTGTTTAAGTAATAATGAAGTTTCTAGGTCAGTTAATGATTTTGTAAAATAAATAAATAAATAAACAAAAGGATTAAATAGAGTTGTGGAGGAAAAATTCCCTCCGAAGAACTCCAACTTAGTAGTAAATGGGCATCTACATTAATTACTTAGACTTGGCAACTGTGTAGTTCGTTTTGGTGGGTTATTTAGGGTCCATTGTGCCTTTGAGTCGTGTTTGAGTCGGGTTAATTTGAGTTTAGGGTATGTTTAGGTTAACAAGTAATCAGGTTAGATCAAGTTTCGGGTTGAGACTTTCGGTCAAGTTTGATTAAAGTCATTTCAGGTAGGGTCTAGTTTCAAGTCGAGACTTCGAGTCAAGTTTGAATTGGCTCATTTCAGGTCAAGTTGAGTTTGTAATCTAAACTTTGGGACAAGTTCAAATTGGGCCATTGCAGGTCTAGTTAGTATTTTAGATTTAAAATTATTAGATTGGGTCATTCTGAGCTTAGGGTGATCAATGAAAAAGAATACTCAAAATATATAACTACTAGACTGAAACCCGTGCGATGCACAGTTTTTTCATCTAAGATTTTTAATTATTTGATTTATATTATTTAATAAATTTCAGACAAAATTACAAAAGTTTAATATTTTTTTTACTATAATTTATATAGAATTCATTAAATACAAATAAATTTTGTACGATATAAATCTAATTATTAAATAATACTTCAAAATTATAAAAATAGTATTTTTAATATAATACTTTTCAACAGTTTTTTGGATGTGATTCATAAGAGTTGAGATATCAATCTTCTTAGAGATAATTTCTTCTGAGTCCATCGAAGTACCTTGTATTTCAAGTTTCCCAATAGTACTATTTTCCGATTTTTCACTAAAAAAACAAAAAATTATTAAAAAATATAAATTATAAGAGTCGATGGACTTGGAAGCTTGCATAATGGACCCCCAAAAGCAACAAACAGATTTGATTATATCTTCAAACAATAGTGTTAGTAGTGTCTTCTATATGTAGCAGTAACATCAATTTACCGATAAAAAGCATACGCTATGTACCAAAAAAAGAATTTTGAAAGATAGAAATCATACTTCCAAATGTCTTTTAAGACCTGAACTTCTACATTTTTATAGATTTTGGTTGATGACGAAGAGGTTAGATTAAAAGTACATGTATATTAAGTAATAATAATAAATAAATAGCTAGATAAATAAAAATAATAAGTAAGTAAAATAATAAACAATAATAAACTTAAATTACCATTAAACTCTTTCACCATCGTTGACGTAACTATAATAGGAAAAGGTTTGATGAAATCAATTAGTTGGGTTTTCCGTTTCGTAAACTCAACAAAAACTTTATTCCAAAGCTTAATTTGAACTCGTTTCCCCCTAAAAACAAAAAACCTAAAAACAAAAAAATATTAGATACATATAAAATAAATATATGTAAGAAGAATTATTTAAAAATAATAAAAAAAAAACATGCATACCATTTATCTTCTATACAATAGATAAAATAAACCAATACATTTACCAGGAAGTGATTTTTTGTTGTGACATTGACCTAAAGAATGTAATTGTATAAAATCAAATCTATGCATTGGAATTTTTTCATCATCCCCAATTGCTCGGACAACAGTAGTTTGAAAAGATTGAATCATTATTTTATTGTCACGGACAACGCGATAAAAGTATCTAATGGTGTAAATTTTTCCTTCAATCAATTTCGAACAAAAGGGTTGAACAAAGTGGATTTAATTGAGGCATGAATGTAATACTCTGTATTTTAAAATAAGAAATTAAGTTAATTAATTACAATAAAAACTAAAGAGGTTTCAAAAAAAATTTAATAGAGGTAAATATTTTATAAGAAATACCTCCTGGTCCAATAGGACCATATCCAAATTTATTAAGCTATCTTGTTTGCAAAAGTTTAGTACATCAAACATGCGAGAAACTCGTACCTTGAATTTTCAATTATTTTTGCTCGAATTTAATTCTCTGATTAAATTAGAAACTGACACAAAATTACTAACACAACATTTATTTGACTTGGTTTTGTATTGATATGAAATTTTGTTGGTGTCGTATGATGCGTCAATTTATAATGATAGGTATGACAAATTTTAATTTAATTAATTAACGAACAATTTTTATTTCTTATCGTAAACACCATCAAATTTTATCTTATAATGGTAGATATGTTTTGTCATATGATTATAAGTATTTTTAATTTACTTTTTTGGGTTACGAATAGTGTGTAAGATATTATTTGTGTTTTGTGTCATATAATTTATATGTAGTGGGTGTTTATTTATCATATAACATTTTAATCAAAGATATTTCAATAATATGCTAGTATCCTCATCAAGATAGTTTTTAGATAGTATAGTGGTTTAATTACTAATATCTTTTTGGAGAACATGTAGTTTATCTATATCATTAGATTTTTACTTTTTTTTTCATGAAAATAATTATATTCGTGGCCAGTAACCTCAATACTTTTAAGATTGTATAGTGGTTTAATTAATAATATCTTTTTGGAGAACATGTAGTTTATATAGTGGTTTAATTAATAATATCTTTTTGGAGAACAGGTAGTTTATCTATATCATTGGATTTTTACTTTATTTTTTTCATGAAAATAATTTAATTCGTGGATTTTAATCTACGTGGCATTAAAATTGGAGACATATCAAATCTAATTCGTCACTTTTATCTAGGTGGCGAGTGAATTTTTTAAATCTAAAATAAAATAGAAATCTGATTTTTTTTATTGGTTAAAATAATACCTTTGCTTACATGGCGCTTCGAATGCTCTCCAAAAATGCCTACTTTATTTATATATATTAGATTACACTTACATATTACAGAATATAAAATGTACTCCCTTCGTTCCTAAATAATTGACACACTTTCTTTTTTTGTAATTTATTAAATAATTGATACATTACTAAAAATGGCAAAAACCAACTAATATTTAATTGTTTTCAACCTTACACAATGACCCACCAATTTTAAGGTTTATATTAAAATAACCTCCACTCCCACTCAAACATTTCACTAACTTCACAAGACAATGACCCATGTGTTATTTTTAGGAAAAATTCATGGGAATAATCCCATCTTTGGGCCATTCGTTTTTAATAATCCCACCTTTGAGATGTTTTTTTAGTAATCCGACCTTTAGCCCCCATTCTTTTTTAATGGTCCCAACCGTTTATGTAACTTGTTATAACAGGTTACATGACACGTAGCGGCCTGTGATTGGTAAAAAAAAAAAAACAGCCACCCTTCCCCTCCTGCTTCTCTCTTTCCTCTCTCTTCCTCCATGATCACTCCATCACAACCACCACCAGGGAAACGGCCGAACTGAACTCCCCACCCTCAAAGGTGAACAAGGGTTCCGGGATGGGGGTTGAGGGGCAAGGTAGCTACGGGGAAGGGGAGGGGCAGCAAGGTGGTTGTGGGAAAGGGGGGCGACAGGTCTTTTGGGGGGAAGGGGCGTGGTTGAGGGAGGAGGAAGAAAGAAGGGGGTGAGCTTTGGGTGGTGGTAATGGAGGAAGATGGTAGGAAGGAGGAGAGATCAGAAAGTAGGAGGAAGATGGTAGGAGGGAGGTAGGAGAAAGATGGTAGGAGAAAGGAAGTTTCCTGATTTTTTTTTTTCTAATTTTTGACCAATTAAGTAACGACACGTGTAAATTAAGCTTTTAAAAAAAAATTACCTCTTCAACCGGTTACTGGTCACCCGGGACCATTAAAAAAGAATGGGGGGTAAAGGTCGGATTATTAAAAAATAACTCAAAGGTGGGATTATTAAAAATGAATGGCCCAAAGGTGGGATTATTCCCATGAATTTTTCCTTATTTTTATGAATAAAATAACATTCCACTAAATTCACTTTACAATAAACAATTCAATCAAACTACCCACACTCAACTATTTCTTAAACTCCGTGCCCATTTTAATGTGTCAATTAAATGGGAATGAAGGGAGTTTAAGAGAATTAATACGAGTTGCGTTCTATTTAGATTTGTTTGGGTCAATTAGTTTGAGTTGAAACTGATTCAGGTTTTAGGTAATATTGGTTAGGGTCATTATATGGGTTATCGAGCAATATCGATTCGAGTCACATCAGGTTTAAATAGGGTTGAGTTGCTTTGGGTATCAAATAACTTTTGAATAAGGTAAATCGAGTCGGGTTACTTCAAGTATTAGATCGAAATGGGTCAACTCTACTTTGGACGAGGTCAGGTTTCGAATCAGGTCACTTCGGGTTGGTTTCAAGGCCTTAGGTTTCTAGGGTGGTTTATGCAATTGTTCATGTAAAGTTCCTCATTGTACCACATTTCTTCATATGTGCGTCTGTGTGACTGTGCTGGTTTCATTCTTCTCTAAAAGGTGGGTGAAGTAAACAACTGTTTTTTTATTTTGGAATTTGTTGTGATCCTATTAAGCTCTTTGTGTACGTCAATGGTAACCCTGTGAAGGACTTAAAATTTTTGGCAAATATGGTAGAGTCTTGCAACAATGAATTTTTGAAGTTCAATCTAAAGTTTAATAAGGTTTCTTTTTCGCTCCTCTTCTAAGCTTACTCCAAAATCACATAATATAGATGATAGCAGTAATATGTGAGAGACATCTATCACAACTAAATGCAGTTTACGATTGACATACATTTCTTCTAGTTCTTTGTATGTGTTCTATCTTGAATTTATGGTAAGATTCCTACTTTCCAACACAAAAGGTTGTAAGATCAAGTATCAAAGCATTTCATCTATAACAGAATTCAAACTCAACCACAGAAAAACTAATAAAGCTAATCAACAACCAACCTTCGTGAGGTTACTCTCAACTCTCAAGTTGTCTTCACTTAAGATAGGACCAAAGTCTAATGGTGACACTTTCAAATATTCAGTTATATTTTTTTGGCCCATTCCTAAAAGTTTAGTCTTATTTTTTCAGGTTTTGGATAGAGGTGATAAAAAATTCAGACCGAGCCTTACACATCAATTGTCATATTCAAATTTGTAAAAAAGTAGCGGACTTATTAGGTCAAAGCAAGCTTTTTGGATCGAACTCGGGTTTTTAACTAAAAAGGTGATTTTTAGATTGCCCTAACCCACCCTATATTTGGGTCAAACCTCACCTCTAGTTGAACAAACATATTTGGCCTTAGTCTTGACCCGACCCAACCCGATCACGTGGACATTTTTTTTTTTTTTAATTTTTTTTAAACTACTTTTGGCCCGGTAAACGGTCACCTCTACCTTCGTTTCCCTTCTCTTCCTTTCTGTTCTTCTTCCTTCCTTTCACTTCATCCACTTCCTTTTGTATAATATTGAATGACGCAATGAAGTCGGCTTGAATTGGAAGGTGACGTTATTTTTGCTCAACCCCAGCAAAGATGAAGCTTCTTATCTCTTACCTCAAAAATGTGGTAATTCTTCTTAAATTTTAACATAAATCTGCTTTAATTATTGTCTGTTATGTAATTATGCCGCTATTTGACTTCAAAATTGCAATTTTTATTTCCACTTTTGGTTTTATTTTGTATGAAATACCCGTTTTGTCAAATTGATATGGTGGGTATTTAAAAATTTAGTCTTTAAATAATCTAATACAGTAATTTTTAATTCGGTGAAAGAAAAGATTAGAGTCGACGTTGAAATTAAACACTTTTAAACCCCGCTTTTTGTGATGATATGCTTTGTTAATTTGTTATTATATTGATTAATTCGCGGCTCAATTGCCACCCAATTCTACTATATAACTACCCAGAAATGGGTGATTACCATCAGAAAACAAAGCAAGCTTCTCGAAAAAGTAGACGCCTTATCAATTAACCATTCCTTTTCCGGAATTGTATCCGACCCTTGTGGTTTTAGTTTTCGTATTGTGTAATCAATCAATCAAAACCTTAATCCCATAAGTGGATCGGCTGCATGAACCAAAAGTGATTATTCCGTGTAGTTTTCGTATTGTGTAATGTCGAACTTTTTTAAAAACAGTATGAATGGCAATGCTGGTCAAAAACCGGTGCCAGTTGTGCCATTGATGGATGCCGTGGTGAAGGTATTTTGTGTTCGTTCAGTACCGAATTATTCCCTTCCGTGGCAGAGGAGGAGGCAGTGTAGCACCTCCAGTAGTGGATTTGTCATTGCAGGGAGGAGGGTTTTGACAAATGCACATTCTGTGGCACACTACACTCAAGTTAAGCTCAAGAAGCGCGGTTCTGATATCAAGTACTTGGCCACTGTACTTGCTGTTGGGACTGAGTGTGATATCGGTATGATAGTTGTGTTTTCAACTTTTTGGAACTGCTTTGATGATAAATTTGGTTTGATATTTGTTTTTGATGCATTGGTAGCTCTAACCTGCAAATTCTTTGAGAGAATGCTTTACGAATGGCTTAGATTTCTTGCTGTTATTGAGTAGTGTTGACTGTTGTAGCTGACTGAGTTTAAAATTCTTCAGGTGCTTTTTCAAATTTCAACTGTGTATAATGGGTTTGGGTTGCTTGTGGTTTTGCAGCTTTGCTTACAGTCGAAGATGATGAATTCTGGGAAGGTGTTTCACCAGTGGAGTTTGGCAAATTGCCAGCTCTTCAAGATGCTGTTGCTGTTGTGGGCTACCCAATAGGAGGGGATACTATATCTGTGACCAGTGGAGTTGTCTCACGCAGGGAGATCCTCTCTTATGCTCATGGGGAGTCTGAGCTACTGGGCTTGCAGGTTATTCATACGGGATTCTTGTTTTCATTTTTGACTTTGGTCCTGATCTCATTTCACTGATTAATTTTTCATTGATGCTGTTGCAGGTAGATGCTGCCATAAACGCTGGAAATTCTGGTGGTCCAGCCTTCAGCGACAAAGGGAATTGTGTAGGCATTGCATTTCAGTCAATGAAACAAGGAGATGCTGAAAATATTGGTTATGTTATTCCTACACCTGTAATTGATCACTTTATTCAGGATTATGAGAGGAATAGAGCATATACAGGTATGGTTCAGCTGACAAATTTGGTCATTTTGATTTTGTTGTGCTCATCTTTCAAAATCACCTGATAGCTGTTGAAGTAACTTCATTTTGGTTTATTCTCATGTCTTTTATGTCTTATCTAATGCAAGATATGAATTCTTCTCAGGGTTCCCAATTCTTGGGTTTCATTGGCAACCGATGGAGAATCCCGACTTACGCATAGCAATGGGCATGAGATCTGATCAAAAGGGTGTACTTGTTAACCGAGTTGAAGCTACTGCTCCTGATTCCGAGATTTTGAAGCCATTAGATGTTATCCTTAGTTTTGATGGGGTTGATATTGGAAATGATGGAACAGGTAATTAATTTTTAAAAATGTTATGCTCTCCCCTTCACCCTTTCTGGATTCATGTCAACATTATATTCTTTGAACTGTTGCATACATGTTCTTAATAGATGCTTTTGCTCACTGTGTTCAATTTACTTGCTTCAAGTATCTGTTAATGTTAGGCTTTACCTTTTATTTAACCAAACATATTTTGTAGTTGCTTAAGTGCCCACATACTTGTAATATAATCTAACAAAACCACTTATTTGATACGAAGAGTCAATGTAATGTTGATGCTCATTCGCTCTTACAGCATCTATCCAGCCCTTTGCATTTTTGCACCTCCCTGGATCCATCAGTCGCATGCTTATACTCATGCCTCTAGATTTTTTTTAGTATATGGTTTTGACGATTGTTGCACTATATTGATAACACTCTTTCGTTTCCTTCAATTCCTTGCTATTTTTATTTTAATAAATCTAGTCTTCCTCTAATAATTTAAGTCTGACATGCCTGCTTATTCATTTGTTTAGATCAAAGGAGAATTTAACCATACAAATTATAAAGCGTCAAAATACAATGCATTCATCATTTTAAGGCTGGTATTAAGGTGTAAAGTATCTTTCTTAGATTGTTTACTTCAACTGCCATTGTTCCCTTATGCTAGGAAACTCTTGTTCTTGGAAAGTGTGTAGTATAAAATCTTTTTTTTCCCTGATCAACTCCTGTCTGATGATGACATGTCTGGTCTACAAGTGTTTTTTGAGTTTGATGATTTGAGGCCTTCTAGTTTCTCTCATGTAACTCCCCTGAAACAATCAACTTCCTATATACATGGGAACAAATTGTTTGATAGGGCCAACAGGGGCAACTAAACTTTCCATGGAGTTGACATAACCAAACATTATGTATTTTTTTCTTCATGGAATTTGTAGTTTGCACAGCCCATACATATTTGGTCTTATGTATTTTTTATCTTATATCTTTGAAGTTTGATCTTTGTAAACTGCAAATGTTTGATTTTGTTTCTGCAATTTCAAAGTCAGAAACAAACATTTCCTTGGCTGGATGTTTTTGGTCTTTGTTTTGACCACGATGCCTGCTCTGTAATCTGCTGCTGTCATTTTGATATAGTTATCTTAACCTTCAAAAAGTATATTGCTAAAAGAACGAAGTCCAAATTATGCATTTAAAACAATGATTGGATTGGTTGAACCAACTATTATTTTTGTTTTTACTATCGAATTTCGACATTACATGAAATATTTCACTTTTAATAATGAATTGCATATGCAAAATTGCATCCACAATAAACCCTATGGCTATCCTTTTGTAGTTCCTTTCAGGCATGGAGAGCGTATAGGTTTTAGTTACCTTCTATCACAGAAGTATCCTGGAGATAATGCCAATATTAAGGTACTGCGTGATTCAGTGCTGCATGAATTTACTATCAGACTTGGTATTCCCAAGAAGCTCATTCCAGTGTGTATTAAGGATGGACCTCCATCATATTACATACTCGCTGGATTTGTTTTCACTGTCGTATCGGTCCCATATCTCCAATCAGAGGTCTCTCTCTCTCTCTCTCTCTCTCTCTCTCTCTCTCTCTCTGTGTGTGTGTGTGTGTGTGTGTGTGTGTGTGTGTGTGTGTGTGTAACAAATTAATATGCATACTTGTTCACTGTCTCATGATAATCATGTGACTAATTGATGGTGGACACATTTGATAGTTGCTTAAAAATAATTATTATGGAACACTAGTTGTTGCCATAGAATTTGGATTGATATTTATTGTCATATCACTCTTATGATTCTGATTTTTTTTTTTTTTTTTTGGACCTAAATTAAGTTGTTAGTCAAAATCTGAACTGTATGACTTGAACCTTTAATCCCTTCTCAAACTTGCTGATCTATATTGGCAATAGGTGCCTTTGTCTAAGTTTTATATTTTTGTAATTTGCTCATGACTGGCAGCTGCTGCAGTAAGGCAGTACTAATTAGGATGTGAATAATATTTATGGGCCTTTTGGAAGCTTGTGGTTTTCTGATATGTTACTACTGCTGATTGAGCTGGACATTATGTCTGCTAAATTGTTGATACAGTTCTTGCTGGAAATTAACCCAAACTTTAATTGTTTAACTAGATAACTGATATTTCACAAACATACATTGCTATGTTGATTGGCCAAGTTAAGTTATTCCATGTCACTCTTCCCCTCTACCTCCCCACTGTCTGTAGATGTAGAGATTACATTTGATGGAAATCTTTTATCTGTACTCTGATATTAAATTTTATGGTTGTATGAATTGATCACAGTTTGTTTGTTTGTTTCTTTTTGTTTTAATTTCAGAATGATGTAAATGTCGATCTTATGCACAAACTTCAATTTTCGATGGCACAATCAGAAGATGAAGATCTTGTTGTTATATCTCAGGTTTAGTATCTTCCTCCTGGACACCACCCTGATTAAGAATAAACAATTTAACATGACTGCATGAACATATTTGTGTTTTGGTTATATTAGAATTAATTGACTTGAAATCCTTGGCTTATGACTTGTATGTATAGAAGCACTTGAAGGTATTTAGAAAGGAGATCAATGAGGATGAAACTATGCAAAAAAATTGTTCTTAATTTAGCTTTTGTTCTGTATTTGCTTAGCATGTTCAGGGATTGTATACAATTTTGTTGATGATTTTTTGCATCAACTCTATACTTAACTATCTTTTTTTTAGTTTATTATTCAGCATTTCTATTTTCTACTCTTAGCTTCGTCCTAATATGTTGCAACATTTGGTTTGGCATACTTTTTTGTGTAAATAACAAAGTATTGAAAATTTTAAGTGTGGGTTCCAACTTTAGAGAGATAGTAGAGAATAGCTTTTACCAGATGTGATATGCAACTTATTTGGGTCACCACTAGAAGGAAATTGTAGCAACTAATTTTGGGAAATAGGTCGTGGTACAGTATATCAACTATAATTATAAAAAAATAAATAAATAATAGAATTAGAGAATTATGGAAGAAGAGAATTTGGGGAAATTGGATGATTGACTGTAATTGCCTTTAAATCATGAAATTGGGCTTTGAGTTGCTGGACACTCTCAACAACAATCTGATGCAATGTAAATTTCTCATAACAAAATTCTGATTATTTTCACTCTCACTGATCTCCTCTATATATAGATATCCAACTTCCTTTTTCGCCCCTCTACTTTAATTACTGCTCTACTCAACTTATTCCCTGAGCTACTAATTATGTTGCAATACATTGTTCTCCCTCTAGACTAGTCTATTACATTTGTGTTGGCTGAGGCAGGCACCACAAGACTTGCCTGGGCTTTCATCGAGACCCCTGCTTAAACTCTTAGATGACTACCCGAGAATCACACTCCTGATTATCTGCTTCACATGTTTACCAGCTATCGGTGCCATTTAAATTCCCAGATTTTTTTAGCTCGGCTCATATTGGCTTGAAAGTTTATATTATTATCTTACAAAATGGGGACATTGATCAAGACGTGGCTCACAGGAATACAAGATTAAGTCAGGGTGGCTTAAATGGAGAGCGGCCACGGGAGTGTTATGTGACCGAAGCATTCCCTTACAGTTGAAGGGAAAATTCTACAGGACTGCCATTAGACCAGTATTGCTCTATGGTACAGAATGTTGGGCTTCTAAGAAGGAGCACATTAAAAAGATGGAGGTTACAGAAATGCGCATGTTAAGGTGGATGTGTGGGATCACTTTAAGAGATAAAATCAGAAATGAGGTTATTCGCAAGAAAGTAGGTGTGGCAGGCATTGTAGACAAACCGAGGGAAAATAGTTTGCGTTGGCTTGGGCATGTAAGACGGAGACCCGAGGGTGCACCGGTACGAAGAGTGGAAGGGTGGGATTATGGAGGGGTTAAACGAGGAAGAGGGAGACCGAAAATGACTTGGTTGGAAGGAGTTAGGAAGGATATGAAGTATATGGAGTTGCATGAGGATGAGGTATTGGATCGTAAGGGATGGAGGAGGAAGATTTTTGTGGACGACTAAACGGAATAATCATTTTTGGTTCATGTAGCCGACCCCATTTATGGGATTAAGGTTTTGATTTGATTGATTGATTGATTATTATTAAGTTTATTACATGGAAGATACTATGTATGGCTTTTAAGTTGAAATCAAAGGATTTGCAAGCGAGACAAGCTAAAGAAATGCACATCTGAGGAAGCACTGATATGCAACTTCTCACTTGTCATTTCACATTGATGGTCCTAATTATGCTGTCTTTTCTCATTATTGGATATGCTTAAGTTGCAACATTTCCCTCATGACAAAATGTGTCGAGTTGCAGATTGCATATATATACCTTATCTTTTAGTCACCGTTTATGTAGGTTCTTGTGGCTGACATTAACATCGGATATGAAGGTCTTGCTAATGTCCAGGTATGTATTAGCTTCTCATTTAAACTTACTTAGAAGTATCTTTTGTTTCTGGGGTGGTCTATGTTATATGTTCCTGTGATGTTCCTCACTCTGCCACATTCTTCAGCTGTGAGCTTGTGCTGATTTCATTCCTCTCTGAAAGTTGGCTCATCAATGCAACATATTTTTTTCTGCTTTCCTGTTAGGTTCATGCTGTCAATGGTAACCCTGTGAAGAACTTGAAAAGCTTGGTAAATATGGTGGAGTCCTGCAACGATGAATATTTAAAGTTCGATCTAATTTTCAACGTGGTCTGTTTTTTCTCTTTTATAAGCTTTCTCTAGCATTACATATGTGATTATAAATATAAGCATGGACACATTTGGGAATTGGATGCATCATAACTGACCGCAGTTTGCAATTGATTGTTTTGTTTCTTATGGCAGGTAGTTATTCTTCGGACTGAGGCTGCTAAAGCTGCTACTGCAGATATTCTGGCGACGCACAGCATTCCTTCTGCAATGTCTGATGATCTTAAAACATAAGCTGAAGTCTGAAGCTCGCATACCATACATAGTTGTTTTGCAGTTGTATACTTTTTTACCTGTCTGCAAGGATTCAGTTTACACGCCTACATCACGAGTCATCACAAATTTACAATTGTGTGCTTTTTTGTAGGTCAGTAATGTGTGCTCCATTGTAACTACTATTTTATGTGCAACCAATTTAAATACAGGGTAGTAGTCAAGTTTGTATTTTACATATGTATTGTACGAAAGCTGATTGATTCACCTTTTTTGAGAGTGAAAATGCTTGGATTTGTCATCCTTTATTTCCTTTTTCTATTATCTGCATCATTTTTTTGCTTACTCAAATTGTTGAGAGAAACAATTATCCTTTGTTCATACAATTTCGAGGTCATTTGATATTGGCAAAGCTTGACTGATAAATTTTGATTGCCTAATTGGCGAATGTAGAAACACTCGATCATCTATTTTGATGTACCCAGGTATGCGATTATAGAGTACAGTATAAAGCTATGGTGAATTGGTGATTGGTTGATGATGATAGTGTAGTATTTCAAATGATATGAAGGAAAACCATAGTATATCTATTTTACTTAAACAAACCAACTAAAGGGTTAAAAACTCGAAATCTCACAAAGTTGCTACGAAATTTCATTGAGGAGCCTTGGTGCACAAGGACAAGGTGGCCTAATCTATGCTTACTTTCCTATACTGACCAAGTGTTTCTACACTGCCAATTGATGTGAAAACGTTGACATAGTAAGCATAAAGGATTGTACTATTTCTTAAACATTAAGACACAAACTGTACTCGTCGTTGTACTATTTCTTGCTTTTGGTCAACTCTCTTCCCACGAGACCATAGCACAATGCAGCAACTACAACTTAATCAGTATATAAGACCCTCAAGGATATATGTTGTAGTAACAACTTGTACAAACAAAACAGCAATCCTAACACAATCTTCCTATGACGTTGGAGAAGAATTGCAGTGGTGATAACCGGTTGGTGATGGACGCAGTGGTGAAGGTGTTTTGTATGCATACAAAGCTGAATTTTTCGCTTCCTTGGCAAAGGCAGAGACAGTGTAATCCACAAGCAGTGGGTTTATCATTGAAGGAGGGAGGAGAGTTTTAACGAATGCTCATTCAGTTGACTACTACACTCAAGTTAAGCTTAAGAAACGTGGGTCTGATACCAAGTACTTGGCCAGTGTCCTAGCCATTGGAATTGAATGTGATATAGGTATGTTGTTTAATTTGTTTTGCTAATGTTAAAACTTCAAACTTCAATGATAGCTAGTTTTGCTAAGTTTTAACTTTTGGCATTTATTACTAGTCTCTTTTGGTTTCGTTTATCAATTAGTCCATCCGATAATCCGAATTTATGTACTTAATAGAACTCATTCAACTTTAATGGTCAAAACATACTACTCCATACTTTTACTGAAAATTGTTACTCCATATTCCAATTAAATTAAATTTTGTGTAATTAATGTGAAAAAGGTATTAGATCTATATTGAAGGAATATAGAATTAGATCTTTAACGCGTATTTATTATTTGTTGTATCAAAACCTACTTTTTGTTTATTTGTCTATATATGCTTAATTAAAGAAAACCTTGGATTTATGTATTTTGTACACCAGATCCTTTAGATATGACAAGTTACTTTCCTTTTAATTATTTTAACGTCCACTATTAATCTATTATCGAGATTTTAGATATTATCTTATTTTGTTAATGACAGTTATGACACATATTTAGTAGCTAGATACATTAATCAAATGTGTTGTTTTTATATTTCACAAGTAATCCTTACCTTAGAGCACTCCCAGCAGTGAGGAGAAAAGCCCTCACGAGTAAAAATAAGGGTGTAAAAAAAAAATCCGAACACTACATCAGTGAGTGAAAAAACACTCACCGATGAGTGAAAATAAAAACCCTCAAGAGTTGAGGGCTTTTGGTGATGAACAGTAACATGTGGCCCCCACTGCTTTTGTTGTTTTTGAAGATGAATAGTGGGAGGAGGAGGGCCCACTACTGTACGCATGTCCTGATTAAGCTCAGCCAAAATGCATGCAGCTTCCTCCATTCGATGACACGCGTCCCATGCATTGGTTGAGGGCCCACTACCATGCATTGGTTGGGTGGTTTCTTTTAAGCATTTCATTGAATCAGAAAAAAAAAAAAAAAGTGATGAGAGGTTTTTTTTCTCCTCATTGCTGTGGTGAAAAAAACATTTAATGAGAGAAATTGTATGGGAAGAGTGAGAAAGTGGGTAGAGAGAGATTGAGAGGTTTTTTTTCTCCTCACTGCTGAGAATGGTCTTAATGAGATAATTCTTAGGAATAGTGTTTGGACAGTTATACCCTTTAAAATGTTTAATTACTTATTAGCCCTTATTATAGTTAAATGCCTCTCTTTTATGAACTTCTAAGAATAGTGTGTGGACATTTATGTCCCTAAAAATATTTGCTTATGTATCTTTCCTCATTAATGATGCCAACAACTAAATTTTTGATATAAGGTCAAACCGAAAGAACTCCCCCAATATCACTAGCTAGGGTGTGCGCATGTGCTACCCTAGTAATATATTTATACATATATACTTCGTATATATTTTGAAAGCATTTTTGAAACACATATAATTATATATTTTTAGCTGTTATAGAAAACCCTACATTTTCTGTAGAAATTAGTAAGAAGTTTATATACCTAGAAGTCTAGAACCTATCTAAAAGATTTTTTTCTTTTGCCAAAATATTAATTTGCCTAAAATTTTTATTTATTATAGTATAATTTTTTTTTTTCGAAACAATTTATTTATTATTATTGTTACTTATACTGGTAGATTCTTTGGCACTCGTATTTTAATTACGAGCACGTTTAATTTCAAAAACCGTGCATGGCTCGGAATTTTCTAGGTTAAGTATAAATAAATACTTATGGAACACCTTTGGAGAACTTGGAAACGAGAAGTGAAAATGGAAAATTAAATAATCACCACTCTTCCTTCTATCTATTCACCGGCTAACCCTGTCGTAAAAACAAACTCCTGTTACAAATTATAAAACCACCTTCCTCCCTCTTTTCTCCGCCATTAACAAACCTTCAAAAAACCTCCATTTTTCCACCTTAGTTATGGGCGACAACAATCGAAAGAGAAAGCGCAGTCGTAAACACCAATCCTCCGAAACCCTAGAAACTTCTCCTCCGGCAACCACAACTTCCGCCGCCTCTTTCGACCAATCGGACGTCGTTTTCTCCGCCGACCACTCCGAACAACCCACTTCATCTCGCCGCCGCCACCGCCTCGGCGGTCGTTCCCTGAAATCCCCCGAAAGTTCCGATGAGCAGCAGCAACCTCGGCGCTCCGACGGTGCCGCCATTAATGGCGCGGCGGCGTGGGAGTTAGTTGCTAATGCGGTATCGGCCCGTGTTACGCCGGCAATGGATGCGGTTGTTAAGGTGTTTTGCGTTCATACTGAGCCGAATTTCTCGCTCCCATGGCAGAGGAAACGGCAGTATAGTTCGTCGAGTAGTGGGTTTGTAATTGGTGGAAGAAGGGTTTTGACGAATGCTCATTCTGTGGAGCATTATACTCAGGTTAAGCTCAAGAAACGTGGGTCTGATACTAAGTATTTAGCTACTGTTCTTGCTATTGGTACTGAGTGTGATATAGGTATTGAATTTTGAACTTTTATGTTGTTTGTTTAATGAATTTGTTGAATTGCTATGTTGTTATTGCAATGGTTTGATGCTAAAAACTCAAAACTTTAGTGGGGTTTATTAGGTTTTCTCAATGTTGTATTATTAATAGTTGGCTCCTGAAAAAATTAAGATTCGGAGATGGTGTAAGAATAGGTGTGTGTAATTATGAATTTTGTGAATTTTGTGTTTTGGGATGTTAGCTTGTTGATATTATTGGGAATTTGAAGGATGAGCTCCATTGGATTTTATGATTGTGTTGCTGATTTCAAACAATTGCCAGTCTGCACTCTTGCATGAGTAGCTAATTACTTTTTTGGGGTAATCATGCAATTTTTTTTTTCCCAAAATTGACCAAGTTGCACAATTGATTGAGCGTTTGTATTGGATACTTGTGGATGACAGGAGGAGTTCTTGAAACATAGCTTATGATACAGGAATGTAGGTTACAGAAGCTAAATTTAGAAAAAGCCTCATTTGGTTGTAAAGAATGGTGTACTACATTGTACGGAGTACGGAATCACTGGTTTGATAATGATTAGTGGTGCTGATTGTTATATAATGTTTTTGGGTAAAGAGTGTATGGATTGAATATTTGATACCCTTGGTCATAAGCTTTGGTGTTGTTAATGTGTTTGGGAGTTTCTTTGTTTAATTCCATAAAATGGTTTACTGTTAATGGTCTCTTTACAATTAATGTTCAATACTGCATTTATTTGGAACTTAGCAAAGATTGCTTTTTTAATTGATTGCCGAGGGCGATGATAACTTTTGAGGTTAAAAGCGAACTAGCTTGCAAAATATCTGTGTCTTGTATTTGATAAAGTTTTGTGCTTTTATTGTTGAAGGCTTTTTAATAAGCAAGTTGAAAAATTGTAAGTTGGTGCTCCCTTTTTTATGTGCTATGTGCACAGATGACTATTAGTTAAGCTTGTTTACTAGAAGCTTGTAGATTATGTAGAAGCACATTTGTATTTGGGCTATGCATATTGAGAACCCAGAATAGTACTAAAAAAGGTAGCTACATTTTCTCATTTACATTCATATTTGGCATGGTATATCTAACCATTGAGCCCGTAAATCACCGAGAAGTGCTTTTTTAGATCATCTAAAGATTTAGTGTTGTCTTTCTTTGGGGAGCCAAATATACATGTTTAAAGTGCTTTCTTGATTGAGCTATATTTGGAATTTGGCTAGCTTAAATAAAAATGATTAGCAAGAATGTATTGGGCTTGTCTTGTTTAAATTTCTGTCAGGGTTATTCAGCGATCATAGTAATACCAAATGCTCTTTTTTAGCCTTTATTTTCCATTTTGGATGTCTATATACGATCAAAACTGGAATTGATTTGTATATTCCAATATCCAAATATTCCTAAACTATGAATCTCATTTATTACAGATAAAGCATTAGTCAATAGTCATATGAGATTATATATGGTAACTGCAGAAGTTTATATCTTTTTTTCCGTAGCTCTTTCTTTCGTCCATAGTAAAATGCCCAAACAGAGTGGATAGGGAGAGTAGCTTAAATATCATTTTAATCATTTTATGTAGTTTCTGTTTCTTTTTTTTTGGGGGAGGCCTGGAGGGAGGGG